CTGGCTTTGAAGATGGAGCCATGAGCCATGGTGGCTTCGAGAAGCTGGAAAAGAAAAGAGGTTGGATCCTTCCTTAGAACTGCCTGAAGGAGTACAGCCCTGCTGACACCTCAATTTAAACCCTTTTAGGATTCTGACCTCGAGCACTGTAAAGTGATAAATTTGTGTTATTTAAGCTGCTAAGCTTGTGGTAACTTGTTAAAGCAGCAATGAGAAACTAATACATAGGGTAAATCTGGTGTGTTGCAGCAACAGAACAGAAAGGGGTTTAGACGTGAACAATGTGTACAGTGGTATAGTCTAAAGTCTTTATAGCTGTCATTTTTCATGGACTATTTTAGTGGACAATGCAGAAAGTTAGAAGCTTGACACAAAATGGATTAGGGTTTATTATCATAGTTTTTTGGCTTATTTCATATTGTGATTCCATAAAGCCTTAGATATGCCTAAAATCCTCATTACCAAGGGTTCCAGATAATATACTGACTTTTAAATGCGTTAGGTGGAAAATTTACTAAAATGCATTATATACTTTCTAGCTTTCTTAATCAGAACATATGTCACAGAATGTTCTCTTTTGATTTTTTTTTTTTAGTCTGTTCAGTTTTTCCAGTTACCTTCCCTGCTCAGTGCTGCCAATACCCTCAACTTACTTCTGTACAAAATCCTTCTTCTCTCTTCTAATGTGATGCATTTAGTCTGCTGTGCTCTTTGCTCTTTGCGAGCTCAGTGGAACTGTGGGTAAACTGAGCTAAGTGAGACCAAGGGCTCTGCTGTGAGGACAGCACAGGAGCTTCTATGCCTGAACTATGTCTTTTTTTTTCTTCTTCCAATCAGAGATCATTGTGGCTTACTTCTTAATTATAAGAAGACTATCTAGTTTGTAGGGTAGATATTGTAGTTCTAGAGAGGTGAAATGGTACCATAGTTTTTAGGCGCTTGGAGTCAGGTGCCATGAAGTTCAGGAAGGATGATTAAAGTCCATATGCTCTAGAGCCGGGGGGACCATGCTTTATGCATCTCTGAGTTCCTTTTCATATTTAGATCAAGGCCAATTTTGAATTTTTTGCCTTGCAAACAGTTATTCCCTGTTTGGATCTCTCTCTCCCTCCGCCCCCTCTGGGAAGTCTTCCTTCTTTAGTTTATGGTCATTTTGCATGCACCATGTTATAACATTTCATGTAGCTCTTAAATATGAAACAACCAGAATATTATTCCTATCAAAATATAAATTAAAAAACCCCTTTTAGGAACATTTTTACTTTCAGAAGAGGCAGCTTGCAAGTCAAAATTAAACCCTAAATAGTAGAATTAAAGTGATAAAAAAAATGGTTCATGTATTTCTGGTGTAAAATCTATCTGAAAAGCAATTTAAAAATGTTCATACTCCTTGGTCCAGTAATTCCATTTCTAAAAATTTGTCCAAGGAAAATGATCTTTTTTACACAAAGATTTGTGCTAAAGAGTATTTATTGCATAAAGAGTGCAACCCTCCATGTTCTAAATCCCTGCAGGCTTGGTGAGCAGAGCTCCATGTCTGCTGAGAAGGCTGCGGGAAGCAATTCCCTGGCTCTGAGAGCTGAGGCGGGTGAGAAAGAGACCTCTTTTCAGCCAGTTAACAGTCTTTGTGAGTTATGTGATCCCAGGAATATTACCTTTGGTCTATTTCATTTTCGCTCCAGATTAAAGAAAAAGAGAAGGCATAGTCTGTTTAGATGGGCAGAGGGAAAATAGAGAAAAATAAACAGAAAAAATTTCCTATCTTGTTCTCAGCCTTGTCTATTTTTTTAAGGAGTAGTCTCCCAGACACAGAATGAGCCTAGAACTCCAAGTATTAAGAAGGTCTTGTTACATAATATTTTTAATGGGTACTCTTTTGCAGATATAATGGCTATTAAATGAGTTGCTTTAAAGATATGTACAACCAGGGTTATATGCCCTATTTTAAAATTCCATTAAAATTCTTAATTGCTTACCATTATTTTTTTTCTTGTCAGTGTAATTTGGTTAAGATCTTATTCTGGCCTTATTCACATGGCTGTCTTGGGTACATCTCCAAGAATTTTGCTTTCAGGGAACTAACCAAACCTGAACTCATATAACAATGCATTTTCCTTTCCTTTTTTCTTTTACTAACACATTCTTTATCATTTCCATTGAATTAAATTATTTTTCATTGTTTTCCTGACCGATTCCCCTATATAAATTAAGTCTTTCTGCTGGTCCCCTTTCCTTTTATTCACAGTGTTTATCATAATTTATAAGCATGTAACTATTCATGTATCTATTACTTTAAGGCCTGTCTTCCTTCCTAGGCTGCCAGCTCCATGATGGCAGGGGTGTTGTCTGCTCCACACTCTATACCCACAGCCTAGTACGCAGTTGGCACTTTCAAACACTGACCAACGAACAGATAAATAAACAAATTTGCTTTTGAAAAAAACAATCAGAATTCATAACAATGTGTACATTTGATCTCCTCTGTATAACATTACCTTTTGGTCAGCAGAAGGTTTTGTGATAATTTGAAGAGTATAAGTGATAAGCGATTTAAAACTTCAGACTAAATGCATGTAAATATGAGTTAGACTCACTATCACATATGAAATCATACCCTTCTGTGATACAAATTTTTGTTTTGAACTGTGGAAAGGAGTTAACTCTTGCTAAGAAGGATGCAAAAGATTTTGTTACAGTAGAAAGCCACAATCAACCACACACATCACCCCCAAGAGCAGGAAAAAAAAAATCTTGAAAGTAAACCTTTCAAAAAACTGTAGGAAATGATTAATAGAGTATAAGTTCAGTGAATACATCAAAACTCCATTAATGGCATTTTTATCATTGAGTTCTAAACAACAACAAAAAGGATATATAATTTTTTAAGTTTTATAGGCTTTCTCTACTGTTACAGATTGATTGAAAAACTTTTTTATTAAAAAATAAGCTATTCATTACATTCTTTCTTGCTCACTCTTTGAATGAATTAGAATGAGGGAGAAACAAATAGAACAAACCAAAGTTATGGAGAAAGTATGTGTGTGAACTTTATTTCATCATGAGAAAATCACTTCTGTGCAGTAACAGAGAATGCTGATATCTACACGATGATAGGGTTTTCTTTGTATTTAGATACATACCTTATATTTGTACACAATATATAAAATTTATGGAGGAAATTAATTTCTACAGTACAGTTTCTTTGTTGGAAGAGGACTCGTTTCGTTAGTTTCTCTTAGAAAACGACCCCCAGTTCTGTGACTGTGGTATCAAGGATCGCAGCTCCAATTCTGTAATTTATTAGACACCATAATCTTATGAACATTAAGTGAAAGCTAGAGACTACATCCTCCTGCAGGATGAAAGGAGAGACATAAGTGCTCAGGCTGCTATGCTAATAACTGATTTTTGCAGAATAGTATGATTTCCATGATGTATCATGAATAGAAATAGTCTTCCTGTAAATCTGATGACATATTAGCAACACTGCTGCAAATGGTCTCGCTGCACTAATGGCATGCACCTCACTCTTCAATCAAACCTCTTTTACACACATGGGAGATGAGGCCATCACCATGAAGGGCCTTCTGCATTGCATTTAGGAAAAACTCTGGGAGGGTGTTAGTGTTTAGCATGGTACTTTGGGAAATGAGGCAACTGCTTTGAAGCTGATAGGTCATCCCAGAAAGAAGGTGCTGAAACGATCATTCCAGGAGAGGCTCTAGCTATCACATACTTGTAACCCGAGTGGGAACGGGCCATGTGGGCATTTTCCCTTCAACAAATCCTGTTCTTTGAACGGCCTTCCTCACAGACTTAGGACTGCTCCCCACACATGGTTTTCATGGCCAGGGGCCTATCAACCTTGCTGTGGGATTTGAAGTTGTGCTTGTTTGTAACCATGTGAACCATTTTAGGGGTGACTGGCACATGCTGAGGTTTGTGGGAAGTGGGGAAAAAAAAAAACACCACCACAGTTCTTTTAGCTAATGCCTTGAATTTGACCAAAATCAACATAATTAGTTCTGCAGAGGGAAGTTATGGAGAATGCCGGTGGGGCGGGGTAACTTCTATGATTAAAATGACACCCAGAAGGTCTGAAATGCTTTGGCATTGACCACAAATATCTCTTCATAGGTTTAATTTCATATATTGCAATTGCTTTTAAAATGAAAATGTTGAAAGCCTCAGCGGTTATATCTGGCCACCAAATGCAAGCCCTTCTTCTGAGATGGATGGCTTGCCTTTGATGACCAAAATATTTACAATATAGCCAAGAAGCAAACATTCTCTAGAGAGTGACCTCGTTTGGTGACCTTAGACAGCCTAACCGAGCCTAGAGGGCCTGGAAAAGGTGAAAATGGCGAGGTAATGCGAAGTTGCCGGTCTCTTCCTTCTGGTGCCCACAGGAAGCCTCAGTCCTGGTGCCGCCGGCCTGGGCTTTGGGTGTGAAAGGAAGCCGTCCACGCTGGTTAAGCCAGGAGTGGCCGACAGGCCCACTCTGAATGGCTCTAGCACCCGATACCCATCGGAAACAAGGTCAGCGAGACAAATCCACAGCTGGAAAGAACCTCGCCCCACCCTCAGGATCTAGCAAGCACTACAAAGCAATTGAGAATCATCTGGGCAAAAGTGGCAAATGATGTGTATCGTGGAGAATGGGAGCCTGCCCTAGAGCCTAAATATATTGGTCTCACACACGGGGGGACATTCAGGCCTTCATTTTTCAGCTTCTTCAATTGCAGCTTATTTAGAACGTTATCAAAGGAAGCCGGCGGCCCAAGCCATTTGCACTGCCGCTGTGGACTCTTTGGTTTGATCGCATCCACATACCACGGGCTCGCTAGCGGCGGGAGAGGAACAGCGGCTCTGCGCCAGAACGCAGGGCAAGTCACGGAAACACTTCAGAATGTGGGCAGTGGTGGGGTTACCTCCCGCTCGCCAGCCGTTTTAGACGCCGCGCAGCTCTCGCTCTGAGGGGTACTGCTGAAGGGCCTTACCCTCGGACGTTTGGAGGACCAGGGTCTTGCTGTACTGGCTGACTCCTGTTTTGTTGAAGGCCTTGACACGCGCGTTGTACGTGCTGTTGAAGTGAAGACCATCCACGGTGCACATTGTCTCCTTTCCAACATATACTTCCTGAGGGTCAAAAAATTAACAGGCCACCATTTAACGGGAATCTTTGTGAGGGGTCAGGAAGGTGGGGTTGCCCAGTGGTTAGGAGCAAATGCTTTGGCATGGGCCTAATCTGGATTTGAATCCTGTAGATACTGGGCCATTTAATTGACCCCGTTTAGTCTCAGTTTCCTCATTCGTAAAATGGGGACAGTAATATCCACCTTATGAGGTTGGTGTGAGGATTATATAGGGTCATATGTGCAAACTGACTAGCTTAGTGCCTGGTATTTAGCATGGGCCTGGGAGCTTAATGAATGGTCGTTATTAGTAGCAGGGCTAAAAATTAAAATTGGGTGTTATAGTTAGCATTTTACTTATTATTATTATTAACATGGCATTTATACAGTGTATAATAACTATTAAGCTCTTTATCCATCTACGTGATTGGTAAAAAACAGGTTTGAAAACATGAGGGTGGTCTCTATGCTGTATTTGTAACACTACTAACAGCTTCAGGAACTATCACAAAGACTGCACTCAAAGCCATGGGAGCATAGGTTTTCATCACAGTACAGAAAGAAGGGGGAGGAAACAGGGAAGGGAGGAAGAATGACATTTCAAAGCCTTAAAATAAATCCTAGCATAATCCATCTTTAGCATAGGTTAGGCATATGCCTCCCTCTTTAGCTATATACTTTGTAGCATTATGCTGATGTAATGAGTAAAAATAATTTGCATTCAAAGCATGGCCTTAAAGTGACAACTCTCCAGTTGGATACTAAGAAGATCAGAGTCTGAGATGGCAGCATGCTAAGAATTCTATATGAATTATCTAATTGACTCTTAATGATACAAAAGGTACATATAATTGTCATCCCCATTTTACAGATGAGGACCTGAAGGCTCAAAGAGTTGAGAAATGGGCACGGTCACTCAGCTAAGTGGTAGAGTTTGGACTTGAGTGCAGGCATTCTGACTCCAGAGCTCTCAATACTGCATGTACTTTCTCTTAAAAAGGGTAGGACAGTTTCTATTCAGAGACTCCTTTGTCCATCTTTGATGGTACAAGGAGAAAGCAGGTCCCAGTTGAAAGGCAGGTGGGCCCTGCTGGGATGGCCTGTCCCTGGGAGAGGTGGGATAGCTGGGCCTGAGATTCCATAGTGGGTCCTCTGAGGTGGTCACTGGTTTTGGTTCACAAGCCGTAGGATCTCTGCTTACCCGGAACTGACCACCATTGCCATCATCCAGCTCCAGAATGTATCCTTCAGCGGGCACGGTGGACAGAGGTGGCTGTTTCCAGGACAGCGTAGCGCTGTTGTTGTGGGTGCAACACTCCTCCAGCTGTAGGATGGGGGTTGCTGGGACTGGAGAGGAAGCTAAACAGAAATTAGTGTAACCCTGGCTTCTGTGAAGTTGCAAACATTTCAGCATCTTGGACTGATAAACATGTGGCTAGACTAGGTAGCTAGCCCGATGCGCATGGGGGACCTGAAGAGAATCCCTCCCTGTCTCCTGGTGTGGGGATGGTTCCTGAGCTACTGGGCTGCCTTTCTCCAAGCCCTTGGTGTCATTTCCTGCCTTTAATTGGAGGGGAGACAAGTGCTCTGTTATCACCCCCTTGGGCATCAAAGACATCATCCCTAAGGGAAATGTTTTACATGGGGGATAGATTTCTAGTCCAGCCCACTAAAGCCTATTTCATCCAAAACACAGATGATAAATTTATCATAAAATTTAGTATAAGCCTTAAACCCCAAGTTTATAAACTTGGAACTGCCTATTCTGAGAAACAGCTCTGAAATCACCCTGTTGCTAAGGTCCTATTTTTTTTTTTTTTCTATTATTTTTTTAAAATTTATTTTATTTTATTTTTTACTAGTGATTCTACTCTAGGCCTATGTACATAAGTAGCTATAACAATGGATTTTTAAAAATTGGTACCAAGTGACACAAACAATGATTTCTCCATTTTGAAACTTCTGAGGAACTTGACATTCTTTTAAGGTAGCTGTACCTTGAAAATAGCACTAGCTCAAGTTCATTCTTTCTGTAGGTATAGAATAGTCAACTGCGAGCCTAGAGAGTAGTATGGGAGCAGATGGGGCCTGGCAGGGAGTTAAGGTGTCCTCGTGACCTTGCAAGAATCTGTCACGTCACTGGTCACAACATCTCCCTGTCCCCATTTTGTGCCAAGAGTCTTCTGTATTACTTAAAACTGCAGATTAGTTAAGCCTTCAGACACACAGGTATAGAAATGTTAGGTAACGAATAATCTGAGTTCCTAATATATAAACTCAATATATATATCTGGGAACAATGATTTTACCAACTGCTTAAAAATTTTTTTTTTCAGCCAATGCATTAATTTATTTTTGTAGCACTTTAACAATAGGAGAGAACAGTTTGGACCACATCCAGGGATATGCAGATGAACAAATGCTAATTGTGGAACACCTGGTATGCTGTACCAAAATTGGACTCTGAGTGTCATGCATTGAGGTAAATCTGCTCCTTGCCAGTCACCCCCCAAGAAGATGGTTAATTTAACAACATTTTCGGAACCAGGTTCTATGGTAGATAACCTACCAAACAAAAGCAACCACTATACCATGACAGATGTGAAGGTGAAGCAGGTTAATCATCTTACACTTAAGAAAAGACTGTGATACATTAGAGGAAAACCATGCCTGAGTTACCAGATCAAGCCTAATTAAATTAAAATTAGGACCAATTAATTGGAGGTGATCAGTTTAGGAAGGGACAACATGTTTCAAGTTTCAATGACACAGAGTTCAGGTGGAATCTCATCACGGAACAATGGCTTCTGCCATTAGAGGTCCCAGAACATCTGGATTCAGAAGAAAGGAGATAAATTCATTGCCTTGTTCAATAGAAAGACTACAGGACTGGATGGAGGAAGGGAGAGAAGAGATAATTCCTTCTAATGATTTCTAATGATCATCTATACATAAATGGGCACCTAGGAGTTGTAATTAGAGGGTTAATTTTAGGTCATTAAACATATTAACAACTTACTTTGTCATTTAAATACTTTTTCCTTATAAAAAGAATACATTTTAATATATTAACTGTGGTATAAAATATGACAAGTTTAAGCAAATTATTCTTCAGAGGGCTTCTAGAGACACAGAATGATTCTCCCTGGGGATGTTTGCTCTTAACTGGCCTTATTAGTTAGAGCTACCACAAAACAACAATTCCTAGAACTCTCTTTGTCTCTTTAGCTCCCATATCGGTCTTCATTTTCCCTTTGTTCACATTTCAGGCAACCCTATATTTCATCAATTTTAAAATCAAAGAATGAAGTTATAATAAGAAACCAATAAGATGGTTTCAACTCGAATCATACAAATGCTTGCAATGTCTCTAAGAAACTCAAAGTTCCTTGTATAGACAAAGGTATAATTAAAAGATTAATTGAAATACATGGTGTCATGTGTAATTAAAATGCGAACTTCACTTATAAATTTTCAGTGGATATACATTATCTATCTATCTATCTATCTATCTATCTATCTATCTATCTATCTATCTATTTGTTTGTTTTTTAGGCAAGGCAATCTTTGGTTGACTTCACTGATTGCAAGGACCTTATGAGCTTACTATCTCTTATTTTTCTATTTTTTACACCTACAGCGCCCTGGTCTTCCTAGGTGGTCTCCCATCCAAGTATTAACCAGGCCTGACCCTGCTCAGCTTCCAAGATCAGATGGGATTGGGCTTGTTCAGGGTAGCATGGCCATAGACTACAGTGGATATACTTTAAAAGACAATATTAAGATATGAAGATCAGTGAGTGGGAAAAATCTCACCACTCACTGATCTTCATATCTTAATATTGTTCCAAGTTTCAACAAATAAGCAAACAAACAAACAAACAAAAAACAAAGAGAAAGAGAGTGAGAGAGAGAGGGGAGGAGAGAGAGAAAACTAAACGAAGGAACAGAGAGACATTTGCATGTCTAAATCTATTTCTCGATGTGCTCAGAATTATTTTTTCTTTTTCCTTATTTACCCCAGAGTGATATTGCATATAAAAAGCAATGTGACAACATTAAGGCTGACATTTTAGAAACACATTTTATAGTGGGTGTTATGTTATCCCATTTCACTTTATTATGTATAAAATAAATGGTCCATAAGAATCCAAAGTATTTCCAAATTAATTTATCTTTTGTGTTTCAGAAATGGATAGCATTACAGTTCCTGGGCTGAACTATAAGAAAGAATGTTTTATTGCAATTTCTGTCACTAAAGCTGCCATATCTACCTTAATCTTAACACTTTCATGATCACTCTTAGATATCGTTGTTTTTCCTAAAGAACGAATTTCTCCTATCTCATCAAAATTTTAGCACTTAGCATCTTTCAACCTATAAAATCAAGCTTAGGGCTAGAACTCTCCTCTTTGATACAGGAGGCAGCTGTTCTTATGGACTTCCTTGAAGGGGCCTGCTGGAGCTATGGCTCAAAATTAAATTTTGCAACAGTGTCTTCTTATACCAAAGTTTTCAAATGTTTTACCTATTTAAGGCCATTCTAGTTTAAATCATATCTTACATTTTTCGTATTTATTAAATTCCCCCTTCCCCAGATCTTTCAGACTGTGAACACTCACAGCCATCTAGGAATTCCTCTGTGAGAGATACCAGGAGTACAGCGAGGACATGTGAGGAAGGGAAGTTGGCCTCTCACCCTCAACATGAAAAATAATGATAGGTGATGCTTTTGAGCACTCACTGAATGCCTGACAATGTGGTGAGGGGTTTTACATGTATTCACTCATTTAATTTTTACAACAACCCACGATAACCACCAGTACTGTTACTATCTCAATTTTGTAGATGAGGAAACCGAAATACAGAAAGTTTTCATGGCTAGTAAGTGGTAGAGATGGGATTTGAAGCGATGCCTGGCTCCAGGGGCTGTGTGCTTACACTGCATTATATTGCCTCTCTAATCTGCTGTACTAGAGGGACGTCACCACACCTAATTCCAAGGGGAATGTTTCTTTTTGGTTCCTACATGTGAACGATCAAGCTACCCAAGAGTTGCTGGTGTGGATTAATGAAATAGTTTGCTGTAGGAGCTAAGGTGGTTGAGAATGTAATTTCACTGAGTCATCTTCTCCGGAGGTTCCTTTGTGAACTGTCATTCCTTTTTATGGTGGCCGAACAATACAAAGGAAAGTTTAGATTTTAGAAGACCAAGAAGTTGTTTCTGGAAAGCTGCCACTAGTACACTGTTAAGGATAAACGTGAACACAGGTTTTGAGGACCAGCCTTTCAGGCCCCCAAACCACGAACAGATTACATTCACGAACAGATTGCAAGCACATCAGTGTGTGTGCTCATGCCCATCACTGCCAAACTTCTGGGCCCTCTTTCTCCGTGATTTAAAGGAGAGTCTGTTCAGATTACACTGTCCTTGCTCATGACCTTGGTGCATACTCAGGGCTCTTAACATTCAACACGAGTTAGTGAAGATAAATGTATCCTTAGGTGAGTAGAGGCACTTAGGAGGAGTAATAGCTATTGGTCTATGTGCTAAAAAGGTTTGGTGGAGTGTTAGGTCACTATTTCATCCTGATTCTGAATGAACACAATGGTGTTTCATTTTAGCACCACAACTCATGCATCTTGGGATATTTTATGTACTTAGACAATTCTGAGGTAATATTTTCCTGGGAGGGGGTAGGTATCTGATCTATTCTGA